GGAGCCATGGGGTCTGTTTGAGGCTTGTCACTCTCTATCACAGTGGGGGAAAGCCTCACATCTCTCCTGTAAAACCTACTGCAATGACTTATACTCCACAAGACCAAGGTGGAAAGCTTTTGATCAGTAACCAGATTGTAAAAACCTATCCCCTTGGCTACAGGGGATAGGGCTGCAGGGCAAGGCAGATATAATTCCTCTGATGGCCCTGCCTCCAGGCACTGTCCTGTGTAACTGAATCAGAAAGCAGGAGGAGGGTCAGAAATAGGAAAGTACAATATAGCGAAGAAAAAAATGCAGTGTAAGTCTTGGAAAGTTACTCATTTAACTAAATTATTTTAGAGGGCTTTCAGGTTTGAACAGTGTAGGATAGCTTTCTACTTGCTGGGCAGGTGGCCTTGTCTTCAAAACAGCTCTAAAATAAGAGAAATTTTAGAGATGTTTAATATACATTTGGAAGGCATTTAATATTGGTAAGATTACTTATTTTTTTAATCAACATAGATCTTCAAAATTATTATGTTGTCTTTCCCAGGTCTCCTAACTGTTTTTTTGGATGACTCATGGCAATTTGGGGTACAATTTTAGAGTGAAAGTTAAAACTCTTGAAAACAAAAAATCAAAATGGGGAAAATCTTCTGATGTACAGGCAATTGCTGCTCTGTTTTAGACAACACAGTAACTGAGCTGCAGAAAACAGAAAGCAGATAATTTTGGGCAAAGAGATCTTTACTGTGGAACAAACCCACATTTACATAACAAAAGTGAGTCTAGGTTTGCTGATTGTGTTGCTTTATAAAACTATTGTTTTGGGATGATGCAAATGGGATGGGACCACCCTTCATAACCTGATTGCAAGATTTTATGGTTGCTGTCAATCCAAAGGTATTTTTTTTATGTGTCCTTAAAGCATTTCACATGTGTAAATTGGTGCATTATAAATATACTGTGGCTGACTAGACTGTTAATTCATGAGATCTAAAAATAAAAGCAAGATTAACAATCTTTGTCGACTACAGGTGAACCTGTATGTTCCCACTGTCTGCTATTGCTCACATATTTAGTCTGTAAGCTGAAAAGCGCAAACCCTGAAACACTGAAATAGTTTTTTAAAATTAATCTAAAAATATTCAGATTTTCATCTTGCTTGGATGCAAGGACTAATGTGCTGCACTCACAGTACTGGCTCTTGGAAATTATGTTGAGTGTACATGGGTCTGTCATTCTGTCTGCTCATCCATCACAGTGGGTTCTTTTTTCTTTCAAGCATTTAATAAGAACAGGATGGAAACAGCTCTGCAGTAGTGTTCTCAGAGATCATCACGACCACTTATGTGGGGTTATGAGCGAATTAATATGAGCGAGTTCTGTAATGGTCGCGGTGTATGCTGAGAGTTGAAGGTCTGATGGAAGCCTGCAAAAAGATGACCAATTACAAGTGTCCCGGGAAGAAGCTTTAAAGTGATTGGACAGGACTGCGCTGGCCCCCCCACGTTTTGTAACCAAGCCTTTTTCAAATATAGGAACTTGTTCAGTCATTAATAAAGGATTCTCCATTTTCCATCATCCCCAGAGGGTGTCGTTTATATTCACTGCCACACACTTAAAATCCCTGTAGAAAGATAATCAGTGATCTATGTACTACAGTCTTAAAGAATTAATGAGAACAAGTAAAATGAAAAGAGAAGAAACATTTTTAAAAAAATACAAAATAAAAAAGCAGAAGAATAATAAAATATAACTTTCTATTTTGCCACTATCTGTTGAAAACACGTAAAAGTAGTCACTCACCTTTACTCATATGAATGATAGGATCTACACAGAAATTAATTCTAAATTGAAGACTAAAAATGCGTAATTAAAGCCCTGGAATAAAATAAACCTGTAAGTGGGTGATTGTAAGAAACTGAGGAAATAGGTCAAACTATCAACTATACGGGTGTTAGACTTCTGCAATGGAACCACTGACATGATGGAAATTAAAAGACCCTATATTATCCAACAGGAATGAGTAGCTGAGTGATTTCATGCTGTACAGATATTGTATCTGCTAATACAAGTCCACTGACCTCATTGCTGAAATCGGGAGATTTAGTGTATGTCCTTATCAGATGTTCATTAGTGAAATCGGTGTAACTATTTAAAATATTTTTGTCCCATAGCTGCATGTTATGGAAGAGTGTGTTTAACAGGCCACACGAGCATGCCTCATCCCCTTCAGAGTGAAATTAGGCAGGTTTGCTTAACCTGGAGATAACACATTTAAAATTAACTAACTGCAGTGGAATGGGTGACATTTGCATGATCCTCTCTCATGATCCATCCTTCCAGCTGGCTGTGTTGTGGTGCCTCCCACAGAGTGGTAGTAACAAGCATGTGCGACCCAGTATGGTTGTGAGCAACTCCAGACATTTCTGTAAGAAATATTTCAGTGGAATTAATTTTGCTCGTGTCTAGTCTTAATTGATTGTTCATGTGAAGTCTGTCTCATATAATCCTTTTGGACCTTGCAATGTAGTTAATCCTGGTTTAATAAAAATTCTCATTAGGGAACAGATTTAAATGTTTTCCGCCTAAGTAAGATCATGTTTCTTTCTAAGCTTCCAGGCATTGTTTGCAAGTGCATTTATCAACCTATATAATTTTGGACCTGTCTGATCTTGGTGCTGCTGTCATAGACTTTCAAGATAGATTGTACTAGGCACAATGCTGTTTCAATTTTAGTGTAACTTTTTTGCACAGCAGGTCTTCACCACTGTTGTCAGTTTTCATTATATTTATGGGGTTGGTTGGAGAGTGAGTTCTCTGTCTTGCACAAATGCTTTATATACTGATTTTGAAAAATTATCTTTACCTACGGAACAAATAAAAACCATCAAGAGTTAGTGTTTCCAAAAAAGTCTTATAATTTGTAGTGGAAAATAGCAAGGTCTGTAAAGAACTGAGCAGCTTGCAGAATTTTCTTGCAGTATATGACTCTGTATCAATAAATATTTTTCTGCATTTATATCTGCCACTTATTTAACTCTATTTCTTTTAGAGACATTTTTGTGACATCTTCTCTGACATTTTTAGACAGTTCCTATCTCCATTTATTTTATAATAGCTCTCCACAGGATAAAATGCATTTCTAGTTTTCACACAACTCCATCATTCTCATTTTACTACAACTTTTTTTTTAGTTGCCTAATTAATGTTTTGAAGATAATTTATTCTTTAATGATTTTCCATTCAGAACTGTAAGGGTACTTAAGTACTGAAAAAAGTGCAGTACAAACAGACAATCCCATCTCCAAAACCACAAGCCAATATCTTCTAGCGATATGAATTTGTAGAGGTCTTTTGAATGAAAATGTTTCCACTACAGGAGATATTTTAGTCCAGGAAGTAATTCAGTAAAGGGAAAGTCTGGTTCCATTCAAATTAAATCACTTCTATGATGGGATTGGATGTAAAGTATTTTTTCAAAGTATTTAGTATTTAAATAGAATGATAGGACACCAGAAGATTTATTTGTAAAGTGGCTATTTTCTATTCAACTGTACTTTCATTGCAGGTTGATCATTTGGGAAATTTGTGCTATATGATCCAATACAACATCATACCACACATTATCGTATCTGGAAACAGCACTAGCAGTGAACCCTATTTGATGTTTCATCATTTACAGGTGGTGAAATGACTGACATCCTGTATATATTTTTAGATCAGATTTTCACTTTATAAGCCTGTGGGCAAACAGACTTAGTCATGTCACACTACGTGAGCCTAAGAGCGTATTAATGGAACAACTTTGGTAAGAGGTTGTGTATGCAAACTTGTTACTTAAACCAAGATTTTAATATGTAAGTCTAATACACTGCAACTTGACAGTGACTTGTTCTTCTCAGAGTGTCCTAGTTAGGACAGCTGAGATCAGTTCATCATGTATGGGTGTAACCCAAAACTGTGTATTCTATAGCCTTCGATGTCATTTCCCAGAAACGGTTATCAATAGACTATTCGCACCCTCTGCCCATAGAGCCTGACTCCTCAGGCTATAAACTAGGTGTTAAGAGGCCTG